CTACTACTACTACTACTACTACTACTACTACTACTACTACTACTACTACGAACTACTACTACTACTACTACTACTACTACTACTACCACTACTACTACTACTACTACTACTACTACTACTACTACTACTACTACTACTACGACTACTACGACTACTACTACTACTACTACTACTACTACTACTACTACTACTACTACTATTTCTACTTCTACTTCTACTTCTCCTTCTGCTTCTACTTCTACTTCTATTTCTATTACTACGACTACGACCAGGTCCCTGGTCCCCGGGTCCCCAGTCCCCGGCTCCCTTCTCTGGGTCCTCGGTCCCAGTTCTCCGCTCCCTGGCCCCTGTTTCCTGCTGCCTGGTTCACGGTCCCCGACCCCCAGTCTCCGGTCCCTTGTCCCCAGTCCCCGCTCCCTGGGTCCTGGTCCCCGGTCCCCGCGGTCTCTGGTTTCTTTCCAGCCCTCGATCCCTGCAGGTCCCCAGTTCCCGGCTCCTGGCTCACAGGGTCCCCGTTGCGTTCTTGGTCTTTGGTCCCCGCTCTCCGGTTCCAGGTGTCCGGTGTTCGGTCCCAGGCGCGGAAGTTGTCAAAGTCAGGGTGTCCAGTGGATAACGACAGTAAGCCGGTGCAAGAGAATTGCGCCATGATCGTCACCTTCGTAGGGTTTTGGGAGGTCCCGCGGAGTGGGCTGTCACGCGCAACCCGTCGAGGTGCGGCTCCGGCGCGCTGCGAGTTGCGCTAGTGTCGCTATTTTCGCAGGTGGGGTGTTATATGCGCACCCTGAAGCTCCCAGGGGAGGTGGAGTCCAGGTTTGGGCTGGAATGGGTTTTGGGTTTGGTTTGCCAGGGATTCTTGGTTTGGGCTCCTGATTTCGAGTTTTGCCGGAATCGATTCCGGGCTTCGCTTGTTTGGGAATTCCAGATTCTGCCTGGAAAAATTCCGGGGTTCGCTTGCCGACCCAGGTGAATTCCACTGGCGACGACCAGAAGAAGCTTGACGTGCTGTCCAACGACATTTTCATTGACGCCCTCGTCAACAGTGGCACTTGCGCCGTTCTGATTTCCGAGGAGAACGAGGATCCCATCTTCGTGCCCGAGTCGAAGAGGGGACGCTTCATTGTTGCGTTCGACCCACTTGACGGTAGCAGCAACATCGACTGCAATGTTAGCACCGGCACCATTTTTGGCATCTACGAGAAGAAGAGCAAGGGGAAGGAGCCAGCTACAATGGACGACGTCCTGCGGACGGGCAACGACCTCCTCGTGGCTGGGTACTGCATGTACGGATCCGCCACGGAGCTCGTCATAACGTTCAAGGGTCATGGCGTGCACCGTTTCGTTCTGGACCCTTCGATCGGGGAGTTTATGCACATTAAGGCGCACGTCAAGCTTCCGGAGGGTGGCGGAAAGACGATCTACAGCTGCAACGAGGGCAACAGCCAGAATTGGGACGCCGCCATGCAGTCGATAGTCAAGAAGTGGAAGCAGGGCGCCAAGCCATACGCCGCCAGGTACGTCGGATCCATGGTTTCAGACGTCCACCGCACGATCTTGTACTAGGGGAACGAAGAATGACATGAACATAAAAACTCGGAGGTCCGCGCGGATTTCTCGGATCGGCGCTGGACCCCCCTTCCTGGCGCGCGGAGCGCGCCAGGGGCGGCGCCGGAGGCGCCGCCAGGGGGTTCCAGCGCCGTTCCGAGAAATCCGCGCGGACCTCCGAGTTTTTATGTTTGTGTCCGTCTTCGTTCCCTTATGTACGGCGGCATCTACCTCTACCCCGCGGACAAGAAGGAGCCGAACGGCAAGCTGCGCGTGCTGTACGAGGGCTTCCCGATGGCCATGATCGTGGAGGCCGCCGGCGGCGCGGCCTCGTGCGGCATGTTCAAGGGCAGGGTGCAGAGGATGCTGGACATCTAGGGGGCCACATGCGGACCCTACCCCTACCCCCCACGATTTCCGAGGGGGAGGGTGGGGCTCACTCCGCTCGTGAGCTCCCGAACGAAGTGAGCCCCACCCTCCCCCTCGGAAATCGTGGGGGGTAGGGGTAGGGTCCGCATGTGCCCCCCTGACATCGTGCCCTCGAAGATCCACGAGAAGTGCCCGGTTGTCATCGGCTGCAAGCGCGATGTCGAGGCAGTCCTCGAGGAGTACAAGGCTCAGGGGCTGATTCCTGCCTAGGGGGACGACAGCGGTGAGGCAGGGGGAGAGGGAGGCGAGGCAGAGGATGGAGCGCGAGTTTCAGGTGCTGACCGATGCCCAGGACGAGGGAGCAGCCAGCAACGCGAACGCAAAGCTTACCAGTTGCGCTTCCGAGCGTGCCCGCAGCAGCGCTATGGCAATGCATGATTGTTGTGTGGCATGTTGTAGTCCTTGGGCCTCTTGGGTGCCTTCTGGGAGCTTTGGGAGAGTCTGCCAGGTGGGTTTTTGAGAGCTCTGGGGGGGGGGGGGGGGTTCTGGGGCTGTGTAGGTGGTTCCTGCGGCCATCTTAGGGTGTCTCGAGGCGAATGAAGGTAGTTGCTGGGCCGTCTTGGGCCGATCTTGGGCAGTCTTGGGGCCGTCCTGGGCCTGTTCTGCGCCGTCCAAGGGGAGTCTTGGGGGCTGCCTTGTGGGCCTGGCAGAATCCAAGACTGGCAGGGCGCCAGCCCGGGAGGCCTGGCGGCCGCTAGGGGTGGCCCGCGAGGAGTCCACTGGAGGCCCCGTCAGGTGGCAGAGCAAGTCTATTTCTCCAACTCTCCTGTGTCGTTGGGTCCCTTGTTTTCAATACGCAGCGCAGCACTTCACCCTCCTCCTCCTCCTTCTCCTCCTCGCTCCTGTCAGTTTTGGGAAGGCAGGGCAGGTGCCGATGGGGATCATGTCGCAAGGGAGCGCACCTCGTCGCAGTTTCCTCGGCCCGAGGGGTGCGCATGCGAGGGCTTCGCTTCCCCGACCCTCGCCTCACCTCGCCTCGCCTTTCGGCGCGTCGGCCTGCAAGGCCGCCGGGCCGTCGGGTGGTGCTGGGAGCCCTCCGGGTTCCGCCTCGGGGTCCGCAGGGGGATCGCGAAAGCACCCCGGGCCGGCCCCCGGCACGACCGTGGATGGGACCCCAAGGGGATTTTTTGGACTGCGCATCTGATTCGCCTGACGACGGTCAGAGAAAGGCGGCGCTGCAGCTAGCAGAGTATTTCAAAGAGGGCTGCACGGGCACAAAGTAAGCACATGCAGCACAGTAACTCCTCACAGCCCCCATACTATGTCCCGACTGTACTATGTCCACTCCTCCTCCGCAACGATAGTGTCAGGCACACTGCACGGTGCTCGAGGGCACCCAAATGGTTGCTCAAACCGCGGTCAGCGCTGCGTCGCAACGGCGGTGGCAGACAGGCACGGCGGGCGGTCCTGGCTCTGCCAAAGAGCGGCGCCTCGTCGCGCAGAGAGGGGCGAAAAAGTGGGCACGACGATGGCACTCATCACGATCCTCGATCCCCCCTCCATAACAACCCTGCTACCCCAGAACTGCTGATGCAGTGCTGGCAGGCGCCGCGGCGAGCAGGTACGCGAGCACCTGGCGAGCCGCGGCGCGCGCAGGAGCACGCTCGGGGGTCCGGTGCCACACGCAACCGGGTGTGTGGTTAGCGACGGACTGCGCTCACCGGGCCCCGTGACCGCTGCCCCCCGCGGGCACAGGTCAGGCTAGCCACAATTGGGGGAGCTGTGGTCCTTACCCCCCTGGGGGACCCATCGATTTCGACACCCCTCTCGAGGGATCGTCGACGCGATGAGTTCCCCCAGGGGGGTAAGGACCACGGCTCCCCCAGTTATGGCTGGTCGGCAGGTGTGAAAGTGTGCCGGCAGCTGCAAGCGGGGGCACCTCTGGTGAAGGGTGGCGGCGCCGAGAGAGAGAGGGCGGGCGGCGCGTGCAGGCAGGCCGCGAGCGGGAGAGAGCAGGAGAGGCAGGCGGCAGCTCTCTCCGTATCCTCCCCTCCGCCCTGTTCCTCACTGAAACGTTGGCGTTGGCGCATAACCATCGCCACGGGGACGGGGGCTGCGGCGCCAGACTGTAACTGTGAACGCGGCTGCCATTCGTCGTCCACGGCCGGTGCTAATCCCTCGGAAGCCGGTCCTGCAACGGTATCTGCAAGCTCGTGCGGCAGGTCTGCATTAGGTCTCAAAAGCCTGAGGGCCCCATGCAGCTGACAATGCAAAGTTGACGCGCATGTACATACACGCGGGCCTCGGCCTGACAGTTAGTGATTGACTCCCTCACCCGAACCTGTAGAACATAACCTCCACCTCCACCCTAAACTCGCCAACTCGACGACCTCGGGTTGCTCACGAAATGAGCAGGTGCAGAAGGGGCGACCTTGCCTCGGCGAGAGCCGCTTGGGGGAGGGGGCTTCGCGAGTTCCTTTCGGAACGCCCACTATGGCCCCCTCCCCTCACGGATCGACCCTCGGCTCGGCCGCCGACACCATGTCGGCCGTGAGCTGCACGGGACATATCCACTTTGCAGAAAAACCTGACTGGATTGTTACTGGCAGCATCCTGATCTCCCTTGCCATCTTCCAACGAGACAGCGAGGTGTGTGGACCGTGCCGAGAGAAAGGGATGGCGGCGCATGCAGGCAGGCCGCGGGCGAGAGAGATCGTAGGAGGCAGGCGGCCAGTCTCTCTGACTCTACCCAACCTCCCTGTCCGTCCCTGAAACTCTGGCGTTTTGTGCAAATCACCGCCAGGGGACTCCTGCCAAGCTCGTCCACGACCGTGCTAGTCCCTGGGCGGCGGGTCGTGCGACGGCATCCGCAAAAAAAATGCAGCGGGTCTGCATCGTGTCTCAAGACCTTGGGGGCCCCAGCGGAGGGCCCCATCAAGCAGCTGACAGTGCAGAGGTGGCTGCCCGTGACGCGGGCCACGGCTCTGACAAGCGTGGCCGGCTGCTCTCCGCCTCCTCCCTGAACTCGCCGATTCGAAATCTGCAGTCTGCTCGCGATGAGAGCAGGTGCATATAGGGGGCGACCTCGCCTCGGCGAGAGCCGCTTTGGGGAGGGGGCTTCGCGAGTTCCTCTCGGAGCGCCCACTATGGCCCCCTCCCCTCATGGATCGACCCTCGGCTCGGCCGCCGACAGCTGGGCAGGCGTCAGCTGCACAGGACAAGACCACCATTGCACAAAAGCTTCAACAGCCTATCACTGTCACAGCTTGATCTACCCTGTCAACCTCCCAGTCCCTCCCACGTAGTACCCCGACTCGGCGTAGTGCGGGTTGCTCGCGATGAGAGTCGAACATAGTGGCACCGAGTCCCTCTTGCATGGTCCACGGGGCGACTCGGGCGGCAAGACGCTGCTCGCGCCGTGCTCGGGCCTCAGAGCGCTCGCGGGCAATCGTAGCCAGACCTTTCTCCGTGAGGGGGACGGGGCGGGGTGGTGGCGGCGGGATGTGGGCAGGGGCGGCGCTGGCTTGAGCAGGGCAAGCGGCATCGCGACCGGGGATCGGGGTGCCCTCCTCCTCCTCCTCCTCCTCCTCCTCCTCCTCCTCCTCCTCCTATGGGATCGGGGCCCCTGGGCTCCGCCTCGGGATCGCGTGCGGCACCCGGCACAGAAGGGGGGGTCGGAGGTGGCGGCTGAAACTTATGTCGCTCGGGATCGGCACGGGCCCCGCCGAGGGGCCTGTGAGACGAAATCGGGGGCCCAACTCTCGTCGGTGCACTGATGGGGGTCCCATGCAGTATAAAAAGTCGGTCAAGGACCCACGGAGCTCGGTTTCCCTTTCCCGCATGTCGTCTGGTAGTGCGTCTGGGTCGCTGGTCTCACGCATATGGTGTACATAGTACAGAGTCCATAATACCGTCCGCTAGTACCTGACACAAAGCCGGGGGGTATGTCTTCTTTTTGGCAGTGCGCCATTCGTCACGACTACGATCGTAACCCATCAGGACCTCGTGTGACCCACGCCCACGTGAGCAGCGTCCTCTCCCAGGTGTCTCCAGTACGTAGGCGCTCGTGTAGTGCGCACATGCGCAATGCAAGGATGCGGGTAGGTGCACGCGCGCTCTGTCCGTGCTCGCACTGATCGAAGTCTGTCACCGTGGCCGCTGGCGATGCCATCACGGCTCGCGAGGATGGGGCGAAGAAAGAACTCGCCGCGGCTCGTCTCCAGCTGGCCGGCATGGGATGCTCCATCCACACGCGCTCCCACTCCCTCAAAAGTCTGCGGCGGCGAAGCCCCACCCTCTTGGCGGCCAACGAGGTCGCGGCCTCTTCGTCTGACGACAGGGCCCATTTCATCTTAGTTTGTTCCAACTCGGCTTCCAAGGCCTCTTTTTCCACCTCATGCCCTCGCAGCCACGGGGCTTGGTGTCTTTTTGGCTTCTTACCGAGAACTTCCGAAGCAACCGAGCTCACCAACGAGACGAGTTCAGCCCGATAGACGGGGCGCCCTATCGCCATCAGGCGTGTCGTCATGGCGGCCGCAAACGTTCCCGCTCGTCTTAGCGCTCCCTGTCGGGCCTACCATGCTGCCATAGTCCAGTCTCTCTGCAAACGGAGTGTGAACCACCCCTTTAGTCCGGCGCAACCACGAATCAGACAGCCGAGTATGGACCTCCACAGGCTCATGATCCGTACAGGCGGACCAAGCCATCGCTCCGTCCTCGCGCTCTCTCCATGTATCGTTGCCTTGGACCCGGCGACGCTTAAATGCGCGGCGGCAGCCCTGTTCCCCATCTTGCCCGAAGTGCAGGGTTCTACATACCGTGAAGTGCCACTGGTCACGGGGCCTTGTTGAGATATGGTCCAATTGGTGGGCCGTGCGGTAACGTGGATGCCACCACGTGGCCGCCTGTCTCTGGCGGTACACCGTGCTCATAACATGAGATGGGCCCAGCAGAACTCTTTGAGTTGCCGACCAGAGTCTATCGTTGTCATCCTGGGTTGTCCGCTGGCCAGCTTCCGCGTTCGCGTTGAAGTCCCCACTCATGACGAACATATGATTATGCCCACGATTCGGTTCTTCCACGAAGCGAGCGAAGTTCCTCATAAAACGGCCCCGGGCATGGAGCGCATTTTGGTCCAAAGCAAGGCGCGCACACGGCCACGAGGGTTAGGCCACGATGATGGCCTGTGCGCGGCACGGTGAGCGCCAGACACCGAGTCCACTTCCGATCATGCCCACCACGAACTACGACGCTGCCTCCCCCATCCCACCACTGCTGTGCTAAATCCTCCCTCGAAGCAACCCCCACCTTCACCCTAATCACCAAGGTCCAGATGATACCCTCGAACTCATACTCACGGACACTGTGTTGGTGGAAGTCAAGATCAGACAACAGGCATAATCGCCATCGATGCGTGTTCATGAGAGTGAACAAGCATTCCGCCTTCATCTCTTCATTCATTGCCTGGTCATCTGCCCCAAAACGCCGGGTATTCCACGTACATCCGAAAATATACTTGGTGGTGTTTTTGCGCGATCGTCTACGCCGCGTGAGTAGCGACAGATTAAGCAACGCCTGCGATCGTTTCCTAGCCTTCCTACCTCTCATCTGTGCCTCCCTTGCCTCCTTACGGCGCACACTCCTGCGCCGGCACCGTGCATCACCTTTTGGTGTCGCGGGGCCCGAAAGGCTCGCTCCACAGCGACCCACTTCCTCTGGACCCGAAATCGGCGCGCGCCTGGACCACGGGCGTCGCCGTTGCCTTAAGTCGGGCGTGTCCCCCTACAGGGGGATTTTCGACGAAAAATATAAAAATACACCAAAAATAGTCTGGGGATCATTTTTGGAGTATTTTGTTGGCCTTTTTGGTGTATCTTTAAGGTATTTTTCATTTTTCGTCGAAAATCCCCCTGTAGGGGGACACGCCCGACTTAACCGTTGCCGCTCCCTGCCCCTCCCCCAGGGGAAAAGTCCCAGGACCCAACCGCTTCCCCGCCCCCCTTCCCAGTACACTACGATTTCGGCTGCGTCACCCTCTGCGCCGGCCCTCGAAGCACCCGCTCGGGCCACGACCACCTTGGGCTCCGTCCGCCTCGGCCTGCCCAGTTGCAGCCAGCGGCAGTCCTGGGCCCAGGGCTCGCCCTAGGTTTCTCCGTCCCCGTGCTCCTCGCAGTGGAGATGCTTTTTGGGCGATCTGGACACCCCATGGGGTTCCTGGTGCCCTGCTCCCCCGCCGCCACAGATCAAATCTTGTAGCTAGGACGCCTCTTCCTCACACCTCCCTTTCTCGCTGAGAATCCTCCCTTCCTCCTTCTCCTCCTCCTCCTCCTCCTCCTCCTCCTCCTCCTCCTCCTCCTCCTCCTCCTCCTCCTCCTTTTCCTCCTCCTTTCCCTCATCCTTTTCCTCCTCCTCCTCCTCCTGCCTCTAAGGTGGTCTCCTCCTCATATCCCTGCCTCCGTCCTCCGTCGTTTAGACATGCCCATCACACGCTTCGTGTCCCCATGGGAAGCTCCACCCACGGCCCCGGTGGGTGCGTTCGAATGGCGTCCAGCGCCCCGTTCGGCACACCCCTCAGAATCGCGTATCACAGGGAGCTTCACTTGTGGCGTAGGTGTGTTCGCATGGCACCCCCGCGCCTATTTCGGCACACCCTCCATGCGGATCCTGTCCCTGAGGATGCTCCACCCACGGTCCCAGTGAGTGCGTTGGCGTGGCCCCCCCCCCCCCCGCGCCCCAGTTAGCATACCTCGCACGCGGAGCGTGTCTTTTGGGGGATGTCCAACTACGGCCCCAGTGAATGCGTTTGCACGGCGTCCCCGCGTCCAACTCCCCCAGACTCTTCGCGCTGATGGCGCAATGCAGGGAGCTCTTCCAGAGGCCGTCCCCCAGTCAGGCCGTTCAAGTGCGCTCCCCCGTCGACTTCGACGTACTCATCACTGGGATCGGGTCCCACAGGGATGCGATGCACTGGTCCCGCGGCGCGTGAGAAGATGAGGAGAGGATCGCGCCAGGCGCTGCACGTAGATAGCTGCACAGGTTTGGGCCCTTCGCCAGGCGGATCGTGCTTGTTTTTGCGTTGGCCTCCCAGGACCTAGGAGGTCTTCCTTGGGGGGCTCCTTGGGGCCTCCTTTGGGGGGGCTCCTGTGGGTCGTCGGGTCGCCTCGGGGGGGCGAGGTGCCAGCAGAGTACCCTGGGGGCCTTCCTGGGGCGCTGGCCGCCGGGGGAAGGTCCAGATGCGGCCGTGGGCCAGTTTTGTGCCATGCGGGGCCCGCTCGAGCGGGGCCCCGCCTCCTCCTCCCTCCTCCTCCTCCTCCTCCTTCTCCGTCTTGGGCCAGCGGGGCGGCAGCCTGGGAGGCCAGGCCCGGACGGCCGCGAGCACGACGACTCCTCAGCAAACGAGTCACCGAATGCGTGGTGGCCTCAATGCGGTGAGGAGCCGCGTCACCTGCTTCGCGGGAGAGCAGCGCTCAGAGAGCCAGGTGGTCTGAGGCGCATGCACACACGCCCGCGCACTCGCACGCGCACACATGCACGCACACACGCACACGCACACGCACGCGCGCACGCGCACACGCACACGTGCGCACGCACAGAGTTCTGAGCGCACGCTTTGCGGCGGCCGCTGCCTCGCGCACAGCGACGAGGCGAAGCAGGCCGGTCAGAGGAGGAACTGAGGGCGCGCGCGGCCTTTTGGCCACTCAGAAGATGGAGCAGGGATCCACATGTATCGAATGTGCCATGCGAATGCCCGGGCATGGGCAGCAAGGGTGGGGAGGGTGGGCAAGCAGGCAGCAGTGAGCGACGCGTGGAAGCGGAAGCGCAGTGCGGCCGACACGGCAGAGGCGACGAGCCAAGTGGTAAAGACAAGACACTGGAACAGGCAGAGAGCAAAGGCGACAGCCGCGCACTGGGGAAGCAGAGCGAGAGCGTGCGCTTTCAGGGCGCGCACACACATGTACATCAGCCGCGGCAGAGATCGGCGACGAATCCACCAAACGCACGTGGAACAAGTGCGCGTGCTCGTGCTGCTTCTTTGTCGGGGATCCCTGCCTCTCGATCGGCCGCGCCGCCACTCGCGTAAAGCGAGCTGCGAAGAAGACGGAGCGGACCGTTCGCGGGCTTCCCCGTCTGCTCTTGCAGGGCCGTGGAATTCGGGCATTGGTTCTAGCGGTGCGCTCCTTTGTCGGGCCGAGCGAAAGGGGGGATAGCAAAGGGGGGGGTTTGAGAATCAGCTCACGTAGCTGATTTTACCGGCGCCTCCTGGCGCCGGGAGGCGCCCATGTATCGAGGAATGGGCCCGGCGGCGGGGCCGAAACCAGCTGCATGCAGCAGATTTCGTACCCCCCCCTTTCCCAACCCCCCCCTTTTGCCCGACCCGACTTTGCACGACGCTTGTGACGCAAGATGCTTCGCGTTCATCGCCCGACCTTTCTAGATCCCGCCGGACGAGAAGCATGGCTCCAGGACGGGCCGACTCCATGCCGAACGTAGTCCAAGAGGGCTCCGCAGGAGGCCAGACACCGCCCGGAAGCCTATCAGCAGTCGTCCAGAGACGGGGGGTCTCGGAAGGGCCACGAGGGGGGCCACGAGGACTTTTTTTAGATGGCTCAGGTGTGAGTGTTCTGGTGTTGAGCCAGAGTCTGGTCCGCATTGGATTCAATCTGGGCCCGCGCTGGGGCAGAGACGGGGGGCCTCAGAAGGGCCCGAGGGGGGCCACGAGGACTTTTTTAGATGGCCCGGGTGTGAGTGCTCTGGTGTTGCGCCAGAGTCTGGCCCGCCTTGGATTCCATCCGGGCCCGCGCTGGGGCCGAGTTTTGAGCTAATGCTACTGCTACTACTGCTACTACTACTACTACTTACTACTACTACTACTACTACTACTACTACTACTACTACTACTACTACTACTACTACTACTACTACTACTACTACTACTACTACTACTACTACTACTACTACTACTACTACTACTACTACTACTACTACTACTACTACTACTACTACTACTACGACTACTACTACTACTACTACTACTACTACTACTACTACTACTACTACTACTACTACTACTACTACTACTACTACTACTACGACTACTACTACTACTACTACTACTACTACTACTACTACTACTACTACTACTACTACTACTACTACTACTACTACTACTACTACTACTACTACTACTACTACTACTACTACTACTACTACTACTACTACTACTACTACTACTACTACTATTGAGCCTAGGACTGTCGAAACATTGACTTTCTGTGTTCAGAACGCCACAGACGATGGACACTTCTCAGAAGAGGCCCGCAGGCGACCCACTCCAGGCGAAAGCACGTGACAACCATATGGTTGCAGTTCCAATCGGTTCGCGACGTTGGGCCGAAGAGGCGCTCCGTGTGGCCCAACGGGACTGTCTCGGAGGCCAAGAAAAAGGTCCCAAGAGGGGCCAGACTGAAGCGGATATCTGTTTTGAAAGGGTGTTTGGGGTCGGTGTGAAACAGGAAAACGAGGTGGGCGTAAGCCCCGAACGGAGGTACCGAAGTCAGGTTCCAGACGCTCTTCAGCACGGTGGGCGGGCGGATTCAAGACGTTTCGCGTTCGCCGCCCGCGCCAATTATTTGTCGCTGTGCCCCAGCCTCGGTCATGCCGCCCTCTGGACTTCTCCTTGCGGGCCGCGAATCAAAAAAACGTTCGCCGCCCGCCATTTGTAGCTGTCGCGAGTCCACGGCGGCCCCACATGAGGAACACTGTCTCAATGTGGTTGATACGTTTTCCAAAGATGGTACAAGAGGCCCTCCAAGTGCCCCCCCCAACAGCTCAAGAAGGCCCCGATGGGGCCACGCAGGGCTTTCAGGTGGCTCAAGCGCGAGCGGCCTTGGGCCCGAACCCAGCTCGAGTTCTTTTCAATCCAGGCCCGCCCTGGGGTCGACTTGGGCTTCGATGTGGGGCCCAGGGGCTTCCAGGCGACCCCCAGCCAGGCGAAAGTCATCAAATTATATGTGTGAAGCACCCGACCAGAAGCAGCTGTGAATCGGTCAAGGCGCGGCCCTCTGAGGTCATCTGTGGAGACTATGAGGCCACGAAAGCGGGTGAGGGGTGTGCCGAAATGGGCTGGACGGCGGCATGCGACCGTTGCCACTGGGGCCGTGGGTGGGGTTCCCTGTCGTGCCACGAAGCGCATGAGACTCGTGTGACGGGTGCGCTGACTCGGACATGCGGAGGCGAGCAGAAACATGAGAGAGGAAGAGGAGGATGAGGGGGAGAAGGCAAGCTAGGTGCGCTCGAGTCATATCTGACGTCCGACCCATCCCTCCCATCCCTGACCACGGCGTAGATCTCCTTTCTAAGCGCAGAACTGGATGTCGTAGCATGGCATAGCATGGTGTTGGAAATTAACCCGTCGAATGACATAGCATGGCGTGGCGGCGCCCCAAGGTGGTGGGCTTCCGCGGCCCCAAAAATCAACGAATCGTTGCCGAATGTGTAATTACTTCCGCTGGTTTTTCGGGTGGCCATTTTTTCATTTTGGGGCTTATGAAGGACCGAAAGGCATGCCGTGGCATGGCGCTGCAAATAATGACGCCAGCGCTACAGCGGGAGCACTATTCGGAACGAGCGGTACTTCGAACATGAGGCCAGCGCTTCAGCGAGAGCAGCATCTTGAGCAAAACGCCCAGCGCGGAAGCGCGGAAATGAGGACGCGTAGCCTGACATAGCATGGCGTGGCGACGCCCCAAAGTGGGGCGGCGCTTCCGCGGCCCAAGCAATCAACGAATCGTTACCGAATGTGTCATCACTTCCGATGTTTTTTTTTCGGGTGGCCGTTTTGTAAATTCTGGGGCATACGAAGGACGTCAAGACATGCCGTGGCATGGCGCTGCAAATATGACGCCAGCTCTGCAGCGGGAGCACTACTCGGAACAAGCGGAAGCGCGGAAATGAGGCCAGCGCTGCAGCGTGAGTATCATTCGGAACGAGCGGTAGCCCGAAAATGAGACCAGCGCCTCAGCGAGAGCAGCATTTTGACAAAAAAACTAAGCGAAAACCCAGCTCCCGGGAATCCTGTGTGTTAGAAAACCAGTTCGCGGAGGGGGGCCGAACAATCCCCGGACGCCACCAGGGGAAAGAGGAGATTAGTATTCATATTGTTGAATTGTTGAATGAGACGCGGGCAAGGAGAGGCGGGGTAGGAGAGAGGAGAAGGAGGTGGAGGAGGAGGAGGAAAAGGAGGAGGAGGAGGAGGAGGAGACGCGGGGCGATGCGGATTCAAAGCAATGCCCCAATTCAACACAGGATGATTGGGGAACGGCCAAGTTACAATGTCTTGAACCTTTCAACCTGTCTTCGAAATTTGGCCTGTTGGAGGGCTCAACGGTCGGTTTTGGAGGCCAGCCAAGCAGAGGCCCAAGTGGTGCCAACATAGAGCAGACGCCAGTTTCGAAAGTCGGGAATGATGTGGGGCACGATCTCGTCTTGGATGGTCGCTTGGAGCTGTCGTGGGCTCCGACAAGTGGGTGGCGCGCAGCCGGGTGGCGAAGAGGCGGAGCCTGTTGGTGGGAAAGCGACTCAACGCCCTGAAAAGGGCCATCTACGACAAGGTCTCGCGCACCCCTCGGCCCAGTGGGCGGGTGGATTCTAAAGGTTTGCGCTACCCGGCCGACCCCCAACGACGGAACTGACTATGATGGTTCGGGTGCCCCGTCCAGGTGTTCGCGGCAATTTCCGCCACCGTGCCAGCGCAGCATTCTGTGTGGCGACGCTTCGAGCACCGCCCGGAAGGCCGCAGCACGTGGCATCCCTCGTCGGGCCTATATGTGCCGTCTTGGGCTCATGTGGGTCTGTCTTGGGGCCCTCTGGGGACCATCTTGGCCCGTCTCGGGGCCCTCTTGGGCCGTCTTGGTACCGTCTCGAGCCGTCTTAGCCGTATTGGGGATGTTTGGGGGGCTCTCCTGGAGGCCTCTTGGGGCCATCTTGGGCCACCCTGGAGCCCTCTTGGGCCCCTTCTTGGGGCCCTCGAAGGGCTGTCCTGGACCGTCCGGGGAGCCTCTTGGGGCCATCAGTGAGATCGTTCGACTTTTTGTGCTGCTCCTCCTAGGCCCTCGTGGAACCATTTTGAGCCGAGAGGGCTGGACAGTCCAGCCTATCATTATCAAAAACGCCCCCTGCCTTTTGGAAACACCCATGCGGCCAAACATTGGGTCGAAATCTGGCGAGGCTATTGGACTATGTGCTCCCCTAGCCCCTAGCCGTTGTGGAACCTCTTGCAGAACTTGGTGGGATACTTCGGATAGGAGGAGGAGGCCTCTTGAGGCTCTCTTGGGGCCTCCTGGGGGTGTCCTGGGAGCCTCTCGGGGGCCTCATGGCCGCCCCTGGGTCTTGCTTTCCTGTGGCCCCTCGGGGCGATCTTGGCGTCCCTTCGGGAGTCTTGGGGGAGCTTCAGTGGCTCTTGGGGCCGTGCGTGGGGGGGAGTCTTGGGGCCGTCCTGAACCCTTTTCGGGACCGCCCTGGACGCCAGCCGGGAGCCTCCGAGGCAATCTTGAGGAAGCCGTGGGGATGTCTTACGAGCATGTTTGCGGCCGTCTTGGAGTCTCGAGGAGGCTCCCCTTGGATCTCGGAGAGGCCTCTGCGGCGCATCCTTTGAAGGGCTTGCGGAGCCGAAGAGCAGGGATCACCACCCACCAAACCACCCCAACGCAACCCGAAGGCTCAGATTTACCCTCGATTTCCAGTGGGGGGGGGGTCGGGAAACCTTGAAAAAACACATGTGGAACCATTACCCCCCCCAACCCGAAATTCGGGTCTTCGGGTTGGGTTGGGGTGGTCTGGTAGGTAGTCAGGAATGCATGAGGCATGCGACAGCCGAATCGGATTCGACGATGTTGGGCCCTCCGCGGAGCCCTTCGCGGAGCCAGCTTGGGCTCTCTGGCGATCTCTTGAGCCATCTTGGGATCGCTCTGAGGTTTTGCGGTGCCATTCCGAGCCAGCTCTGGCCACCCGAGGCCCTCCACGGCAGTCTTGACCCGTCTCGAAGGACCTGCAGGTTGGTGAGCTGTTTCGGAGGGGTCGGAGGGTGCATTGAGGGGTTTGTACCCCCTCGGCATCGCTCGGACGTGTGCATTTTTTCTAGGCGAGAACCATCGAGGACCATCCTGGACCATCGAGCAAAAAGAAACACGCACGAAACCGAAAAATGCATGGGAAATAGACGTCCGAGCGACGGCAAGCCCCCCGTGAAACGGAATGTTGGACCCGCCGTGGAGGAAAACATGGGGGCAGCCAAGCTTCGCACACGCTCTGTTGCCGGATTTTCAGCTCTCCACGAGCACAAGGCGGTCATCGGCCTCTCCTCTATGAGAAGGCTGCCTGGCGTGGGCCTAGCTCTGCGCAGTCTGCTTTCTGTGTAGATTATGTCTCCCCCATCCCCCTCATATCCTTATCTTCCTCGCATCCACCCCCTCCTCATCCTCCCTCTTCTCATTTTCCTCCTTCTCTCCTTCTCCTCGTCTGCAGATGTCGCAATATTTTAAGCTTCGCCCCAGCGCACGAGGTGCGCGGTGTGACCATCATCATCCTCATACTCCTACTTCTCTCGCAGCCCTTCTGGGAACTCGCGCCTCATGTTTATGGAGAAGGCCTTAGGCCGGTGCCGTCCCCCGTCTCCAAAGACACGACCCCCGGGCCCTCCCCCCCCCCGGGACCACCCCTCCCCGGCACCCTCCGCCTGCGCCCCTTTCCCCGGACCCGCCCCCCTCCGGGACTCCGCCCCCCGCTGCCCCCCAAAAGGAAGGGATCAGAGGAGAGGGGCTTGACGAGGAGGGCCCAGGGAAAAGGGAAAATGGAAGATCGACGACGGACACGGGCACGGAAAGAGTGGGTACGATGCCCAGCAGTAGTTCCTGTTCATTTTGAACAGGACTCGCTGTCCGCGCCGCCGCGGCTTGTTTCCATTTGAGACAGAAGGCCGCCTGCCAAACAGCGGTCGTTGTTGGTTCGGGACAACATTTGCTGTTGGGCATTGTGTCCATTCCTTCCGTACCCATTTCGGGCGTCCAAAGAAGAGCGACGACGACGACCCAAACGGAAGAACGTCACACACACACACACACGCTGACAGGGACGGCGGATTCCCTATCCGTTTCTCGTCGCCCCTCTTATACATCTGTCCCTCAGCCTCGACCTCTCCTTTATTCCATGCCCTGTCATTTCTGGTCATCCATGCTTCCTTCATTCAGCCGTCCAGCGACAAATACCTACCGCACTTGGCCCTGCTACCGCAACCGTCGGTTCGCAGTGCTGGTGATCCCCGCGTTCGCTGCCGTCGGCAAGGTGCCTCGTGTTGGTGATGGCGATTGCAGCGATGAGGCTCACGAACGCAGATGTTAAATGACATATGGGGTGGATAGGAGCATGAGTGTGAAGAGTGTGATGTGGAGGGGTAGGGTGACGACGGCAACGAAGAAGGCTATCATTAGCACGGTGTTATGTAATGAGGATGATGACGACGAGGATAAAGCTGTTGTTGAGGCTGATGCTGATGCTGCTGATGCTGCTGATTGTGAGTATGATGCTGCTGATGATGCTGATGCTGCTGATGATGACGATGATGGTGATGATGATGGTGATGGTGATGGTGATGGTGATGGTGATGGTGATGATGATGGTGATGGTGATGGTGATGGTGATGGTGATGGTGATGGTGATGATGATGATGATGATGATGATGATGATGATGATGATGATGATGATGATGATGATGATGATGATGATGATGATGATGTTGATGATGATGATTCTTGTAACGGTGACGGTGACGGTAATTGCGATGGTGACGGTGATGGTGTTGGTGATAACGACGACGGTGGGAACGCCAATGGTCCTGTTGATGGTGGCGACGCCGCTTTCATGATTCCGATGGTGATGACCATGATGTCGACGATATTCTGACCTGAGGCGGAAAGCGAGATGATGGTGACAACGACGATGAAGAGATGACCATTACGACGATGATAGCTCCGCAGTGTACGGGTATGTGACACGGGGGCCCTAGCCACGAACCCGACGGCGGACAGAACTGCCGCCCTGCGCCAGGACCAGCCAGGCGCCGCCCAGATCAGGGCCACCCTGAGGTCGGAGGTGAGGGGGTGAGATCGAAGTGGAACGGAGAGCCCCCCTACCGGGAAATCGATTTCGGTTTCGTGTTCGTGCGTGCGGTGCGTGCGGGCGAAGCGAACCTGCGTGGGCGGGCGAGAGAAAGTCTCCTGTGGCTGAGGCGCGGCCGGACCAAATGATTCCCTTCCGGGCGGCCGGTGGCCCGCGGTGTCCCGCCGGTGTCCCGCTGGTGTCCCGTGTGGCTGAGGCGCGGCCGGACCAAATGATTCCCTTCCTGGCGGCCGGTGGCCCGCGGTGTCCCGCCGGTGTCCCGCGGTGTCCCGCGGTGTCCCGTGGTGCCCCGCGGTGTCCCTCGGTGTCCCGCGAGGATGATGATGATGAAAAGATGAAGATAATGATGATGATGATGATGATGATGATGATGATGATGATGATGATGATGATGATGATGATGATGATGATGATGATGATGATGATGACGATGGTGTCCCGATGAAGATGATGATGATGTTGATGATGGTGTCGATGATGATGATAGTGTCCCGATGTTGAGGATGATGATGCTCATGATGATTATGTTGATGATGATGACGATGATGGTGTCCCGATGATGATGCTGATGATGATGATGATGATGGAGATGATGATGATGATGATTCCGATGATGTTGGTGATGATGATGTTGATGGAAATGGTGTCCCGGCGATAATGATGTTGATGATGATGATGGTGATGATGATTATGGTGTCCCGATGATGCTGCTGATGATGATGATGATGGTGATGATGATGGTGATGCTGATGGTGTCCCAATGATGATAATGTTGTTGATGATGATGATGATGATGTCGATGATGATGATGCGATGATCATGATGATGATGGTGTCCCGAGGATGATGACGATGTTGATGATAATGCTGATGATGAGAACGATGGTGATCATGATGGTGCCCCGATTAGGATGATGATTATGATGATGCTGCTGATGATGATGACGATGAGTTTGTCCCGATGATGATGATGATGATGTTGATGATGAGATGATGATGGTGATGATGATGATGTTGTCCCGATGATGATGCTGACGTTGATGATGATGTTGATGATGATGATGATGATGACGGTGCCCTCATGATGATGACGATGTTGGTGATGATGTTGATGTTGATGATGTTGATGATGATTATGATTATGATGATGATGATGATGACGTTGATTGTGAGAGCGATTGTGATATCGATAGTGAGATCGATATTGAGACCGAATGTGAGATCGATTGTGTGATCGATTGTGAGATCGATTGTGAGATCAATTGTGAGATCGATCGAATGAGATAGATCGAGTGAGATCGATTGTGAGATCGATCGAGTGAGATCGATCGAGCGAGACCGATAGTGAGATCGATACTGAGATCGATAGTGAGACCGATCGAGTGAGACGTTGGTTTCCCCCCCCCCCGAACCTCCTTATCACCCGAAGGGTGGTCGTATAGGTATGTGACACGGGGGCCGTAGCCACGAACCCGACGGACAAAACTGCCGCCCTGCGCCAGGACCACCCAGGCGCCGCCCAGATCAGGGCCACCCTAGAAGCTCACCGCCAGTCCGAGGCGGCAGGGAGTCGTGGCTGATGCGACGCCCTTGCAGAGGACGCGCTGGACAGTACACGGCCGGGGTGCGCCAAGGCAGCGCGCAGAACAGAGGGTACCCATCGGTCGTTGAAAGTAGGTATTTTTGGATTCCCAGATTCCAATCTACTTTCAGCGCCTTCCTACTTCAAGAGTCGGGTGGTTTTCCTTTTTCCTTCCTCTTCAGGAGGCGGGCGGAAACCCAATCTATTTCCAACGCCTTCCTACTTCATGTTTCTACCTACTTCTTCCGTCCGATGGGTACACAGCCGGGGTGCGCCCGGCAGCGCGCAGAACAGAGGGTACACGTTGCCAAGCGCGAGGGCGGCAGAATCCTCAGGAGTGGGCGGAAGCGGAGTGCCGTGCTCCACGGGGGGGCTGCGACAGTCCCGCCGTCTTCCCCACCGTTGCGCACTTCAGCGCGGCAAGAGTGCAAGAGTTGAGGCAGAGAGCCACGAACATACAGATTCTGCACTGGGGGCCACGAGCGTGAAGAGCCGCAGGCCATCGTTCGCGAGGTGTAGGAACTGAGTGGCGTTCACCTGACAGCACATTCCCGCCGCGTCAACGCGGCAGACAGTTCAAGACTGCGGTTGAAGCACGGAGAACATGTTACGGCACAGGGCGCCGTGAGCACGCAGCACTGCTTTTGACCGAGGTGCGGAAGCGGAGCGCCATGCGCTTGACATCAAGCCTCGTCGCCTCAGCGCGGCCGAAGTGAAACGTTGAAATGGGTTACACACGTGCACCCAGGTCAAGGAGCGCGCAGCACTGCGATTCACACGTCATCTGGGACCCCCGTCGGCTGCCAGCCCCCACCTCCCGCCCGCCCTCACTAGCCGAGCCTGCGTGTCGAAGACGTTATGCAGCTGCCAGTCAAAGGTTGTTTCAGCAGCCACGAAGCCGCTGCCATGGCAAACTCGTCGCTGGCCAGGTCGAGTGAGGGCGGCGCCCGCCGCCGCGTGCCCTTCCCCGAGGTCGTGCCTCGACACCCCAGTCTCGCCGTGCCCTTGCCGCTCCTCCAGCATTTGCGCGCCGACAGCCGCTTCGGCCGCACCGGCAGCGCCCAGCCGAACATCGAGGAAGGAGGGTCGGGTAGAGGTCGCTGTCTTCCTCGTCCGAGGCGTGTGGCGCGGCACGGATCACCGCAGCATCCGGGAAGGGCGCGACGACGCAGACAATGAAGACGTCAGAGCAGGGCTCGTTTCGATTCCTCCGATTCGATTCGATTCGACTTCGATGGATTCCGATTCCGATTCGAGTCGATTTGGGCTTCCGATTTGGATTCCGATTTCTGATTGGAGGCATACTAGCCTGCCGATTTCCGCCGATTCGACGTTTCCCGATTCGGCTGCCGATTTCCGCCGATCCGATTCATGTCGATTGCCGATCCGATTTATCGATTCGATTCTGGGCTCTCCTGTCAGAGCCATGACGTTCATGGGCAGGCGACTGCGGCTCCGCGGCGGTCGCCCGTCGAGTCAGGCTGGCGAGGAAGCTTAGGTACACAAGCCTCCTCCTCTTCCTCCTCCTCGTCCTCCTCCTCTTCCTCCTCCTCTTCTTCCTCCTCTTCCTCCTCCTCCTGCGCGAAGCGGCATCAGCTCGTCTTCGACAGGAAGAAGCGCGACTTGGCCACCCATGCTGTTCTTCTTCAGGCCGAAGTCAACCAAGCACTCCTCGAGGTGCACGAGCTACGGGAGAAGACTGAGAAAGCATGTGCAGTGTACGATCGCATGGTGGTGGACCTCGACCAGCAGCGGGGACGCATCCGCAGCTTCAGCGAGACGCTCGGTAAAGCGGAGGCGGCCCACACCAAGCTTGTTCAGCAGCTGCACGAGCAGCTGGCGCAGCCTGGCCAGCCGCCACCGCCCCCCACCCCCCACCGACGTTGGGCATATCCGCCACCCTCCAGGGCAGCGCTCAGGATATCCCAATCTCGATCGACTCGCTGCTCAAGCCCCAGGACGACTGCGAGCTCATTGGCAAAGATCTGGGAGAAGTTGAGAGGTCGCGTGAACTTCATCAGGCAGACCAGGGCGCCGTGCTCAAGCTCTTCGGCGACGGGGTGGACAAGGCCAGGGCCTTCCAGAACGACCAGGATAATGGTTTCGAACGCTTCGCCGCCAAGCGTCGTCGCAGACCTGATGACCGGGGCGGTGCTCCCGTTCATGCTCCCGTTGGGGCTGCCGGCGCCCCTCGGCCCGAGGGCGGAGGGCCGGCCGCGGGGGCCCCCGCGGAGTCGCCCCAGGAGGCCGCGACGGGCGAGGGTGCTCCTGGCCGCGCGGATCTCCAGGAGCCCCCCCCCCCCGCCGCCGCGGGGTAGCGGGGGGGGGGGGGGCAGCGGCGCGAAGTGCATCGGCGTTATTTCAATTCTGAGGCGCGGCGCGCCAGTGCGCCTCAGCGCTCCTGCCGTGTCTCCGCTGGCCTTGGCGTTGGCAGAACCATCAGGGGGCGCGGCCAATTCTCTAGTTCTCCGCCGCTTAGGACCCAGGAGCCCGCCCCCCCGGGCATTTGGGCCCGCCTTGCAGACTCGATGGAGAGGCCCCCCTCGGTGAGCCTCTGGGCCCTTCGTTAGTGTGGGTGGCCGCTCGCGCCTGCGATTTGCCAGGGCCCAGAGGTGACAGTGGTCGAGTCCGCGCGCGCGTGTCCGAGTCGTCTTCATTATCTTGCGCGAGGTTTACTTTGCGCCGTGCTCGGAACCTCGTTTCGGGAGTTGGCCGAGTCTTGACCAGGGCGCGCTCCGCCCCCCCTCTGCGGGGCCCCCGGGGAGTTGCGCAGTTTCTGAGGGCCCCCGCGTCGGGCGACTTCGAGACTTGTCCCCGGGCGCCGGCGCCCCCCTCCGACTGCGCAGGCCCCGGCGTGGACATGGCCGCGCGTTCTAGTCTCGCCGCGTCTCGTCGTGGATTTCTGCGGCCCGAGGATGTAGGGCGCTCCGGGCCCCCGCTCGTGGAACCGCTGGGGCCCTCGCAGACCGCTCAGAACAACTTCGCGTCCGTCGCTGGAAAGATCTACTGTTCAGGTGGTCTTGCTCGAGGAGCACCATTTGCTCCATGGTGCGCTTGGCTCGGCGTCCTCGTGGCGCCGCGGGCGCGGGCGGAAATCGCTGTCCCGGCCTGCCTGCCTGCCAAAACCCCCATGGTGGGCCGTCAGCAGGCGCGGCAATTCTGGCGCCCGCTGGCATGGGATTATGCTTCCTTGGTTCCGGGGCCGAGGTCGACAGCCGCGCCATTGCTTCTGTTCTTCAGCGGCCAGGCGACGCGCAGGTTTGTTCTTCGGCAATTTCATTGTACTTGCGCGACTGCCAGGGCCTCTTCGGGCAACTGGGACATTCTCTCGAAATCAAGTGCTTCACTCGAATCTGTTGGCTGCCTTGGTCTTATTGATCGCAACTTTAACATGGCCCTCCGAGGCCGCGGTGCAGTCGTTCATCGGGGATGAGCTGGGCCAGTGGGCCATCCCAGGTGAAGCTGCGTGTAAATTTGTCCGGGGTTCCAAGGTGCATGACTCCTACTTCCCGTCTCACGGGCTCGCCAAAGGGGTTGCCAGCGCGTCGGCGCATCGAGGTGGCACGTTATGTTTCGTTTCTGCTTGGGTCGACAATGTTCACGCGGGTTTTCGGAGGTCAAATCCGATGCCGGGTAGGCGGCTTCGGTGGCGTGGCGAGATTCGCGAGATTAGTTCCTTCTTTGCGCTGGCCAGGTTGGCCGCGCGCATCCGCGCGGCGTCCAAGGGGCCCGCCCCCCAGGCCCGAACCACCTTTTCATCGTCGCATGGAACGGCGGTTGCGGATCCGTCGTCGCTGCTCCGCGCCAAGAGCTTTCGCCCATCGGGGTGGCGCGGGGGGGGGGCGGGGGCGGCAAGAGGCGGCCTTGGATGCCCGAGGGCGTTTTAAACCCCTCGCCCCCCGCGCTCAAGCCCGAAGATCTCCTCGCCATCTCGAGGGCGCTTCGGGGCACTTCGGCCGTGGCCACTGACAGTATCCACATGGGGCATGCGAACATAATCTACGAGTCCAGCCTGCGCCTGCTTCGTGACCTGCTGGTTTTCATTGGGAGTTCGGCGACTACGCCTTCTCAGATTACTGTGAGCATTTTAGCTTTCATTGCAGTGCGTTCGGGGTACTTGGCAAGCTTCGCTGGCCTTTCGCTGGCGATTCTGGGCGACGCTCGATGCGCCCCCGTTTCTGCGCGAGCCCATTCTAGGGGGCCCGGCGTCTCGCGGCGCCAAGCAAGCTGCGCGCGCGGGGGGCGCCGCTGCCAGTGGGGGGCGAGGCCGCGCTGGCGCCGAAGTGCCACTAGGCTGGGCTCCTCGTTGGCATCTCTTACCTTTGCATTGCAATGCGCGCCCGAGCCCGCTTCCTTGCCGTGGCGGGGGCCGCGCGCGGACTGGCCCTGCGTCGGGGCCAATGTCATTCGCGCTCTGGGCGCCCTCGGCCCCTCCCAAGGTGCGCGCCTGAAACTGCGCATCGCCGACAGCGGGTTTTGGCCACGGGCCTTGTTGGGCAAATTTTGACTGGCCAGGGCTGCCGCTGACCATCGCGAAGCTTCGATCTACGGCGTCGGCGCCCAGGTCAGCGTCGAAAATGCGGCCCTGGCGCGTTCCTCCAGCATCCTCTGGCGGGCCCTTGCTATGGCCAGTCGTGGGTGGCCTAGGTGGGTCCGATCGCGACTCTGCCTCGGCCGTGGATCCCGGGGTCGACGACGCCGCTGCGGAGCGTTCCCCCAGGGCCAAGGGGCGCCTTCGCAAGGCCAGGGATCGAACCGTGCGTTCGGTGCGTTCGAGGCCCGCGGTCAGCGGGCAGAGGGCAAAAAGGGCCGTTAGTGTGGGGCCCCGTCCTGGCGCAGCGCATGGCGCGGAATTCTCTGGCGCGGCTGATCCGGGGATTCTTTCCCTCGGGAGGTTGGCTGGCAAGGCCCTTCCTAACGCTGGGGGGGCGCTGTCTCACTGCCCTGATGTTCTGCCGCGGTGGCCCTCCATGGGTCGCGGCGATTGTTCCAATCTATCGGCGGGCTGAGGAGGCCCGGGTAATTAGCCGCAGTTTGTGCCCCCACTGCCTCTCGTTGGCCGCGCTCCGTGCGGCTTGGGAAGTGACGTTCTCTCGCCCCTCATGCCTCTGGCGCCCGGTCTCTGGCCCCCTCTGTGCGACAAGGAGCTTTCTTGAGAAGATGAATTGAACCATGCCGCCGTTTACCGTTTCGAGAGATGAGCGTGGCATCGGTGCGCGTCTCATCCGGAAGTCTGCCATGCTCCGGCTTCTCTTGAAGCGAGCCCAAGGTGGTGGAATGGGACCTGGAAGCTCGCCGCAACATGGGTTGCGCATGCGCGGGTGGCATTATCTCGTGGCTCACCTCCAGAAAGATGCCTTCGCTCCAGACTTGTTGCATCAGGTTCTTCGTTTTTTTTGCAATGCGGCCCGTTTCGCCTTGGGATGCGTGACCGATGCTGATTGTGAGTTGCGCCGCTCTGCTAAGGACAGCATTCGTCGCAGACTGAGGCTGTGTCCGCCCTGCTTCGCCCGGAGGGGTGGGCGAGTTCCAGCTCGGGTTCAGGCTTGGGCAGCTGAGGCCTGCGACGATTTCGCTTGTCACGGCGCCTCCCCCTCGCCCAGCTGAGCATGTTCCCCGGCCTCTCCATGCAGAAGGGCTGGTTGCGAAATTACGTGAAGGCCTTAGGGGGCCCAATTTCGACCCGGACCTCGGGGGTGAGATCTTTGCTGATGGACCCGGGCCTCGGGGGTGAGATCTTCGTTGATGGTTTGAGCCTGCGCCATCGAATTTCGGATCTTGCGCGCGCTGGTTTGACGGTTTCCCTACTCGGCCCGTCCTGTAGCGAGGAAACGATTCGGGCCCGAGGCCCAGCGCGGCCTCCGGACCCGCAAACGCCCCAGAGCGCTGCATTCCATGCCTTCTGTGCTGCTATTCGGTTTACTGCCCGGGCCCCCGCTGTGCATTCGGATTGCTAAAGAGTGGTGGATCGATCGCGCGAATTTGCCTTGAGCCCAACAATGTTGCCACAAGCGCATGTACTGTGGCTGTGCTCAGTTCGCTCGCCTCGACCTCCCCTCCCTCGCTGTCAATGAAGT